AAAAAAAAAAAAAAAAAAATTATCCAGAGTCGTCTTGACAGTGATAGAAAAGGAAGATGTTGGCAAAACTAGTTTCTCTTCTGACATCAATTAAATTCAGCAAATAGTGAGTATTTGCTGTGGGCCAGGCACGCTGCTTGGAACTGAAATGCTGTTTGCTTTTCTGGAATGCTGTTGTATCTATTGGCTGGGTCAACTGTGGGGTGAAAGATGAAATTGAGGAACAATATGGAATGACCTGAGCCAAGTCCTGCTTTAGTTTTTCTGTATCAATTCTAACTTTAAAAATTTGTAATACTGTCTTTTGGAAGGAATTACTGGACTATATATATGTTAGATTTTTAGAACTGAGTGGCTTTGTCCTTTTTTGGGTAGGTCGACTGTGTATAGCTATTTCCAAGAGGAGTTCTTATGAAGATATTTGAACTTCAGTGTGCTGTTTTCACATTGATAAGTAGGGGAGACAATCTATGAGATTATGTGATTTTAAAGATTATTAAGGTTTTAAGGGAAATTTCTGAGTGAGCTTTAGCAAATGTGGTAGTTTATTGTGCTTTTATTTATCATATACTTACTATATGTCAATTATTACTTCAATGCTACACATATATATTCACCCATTTAATTCTCATAACAACTCTATGATGTAGATATATTTGTGTTACAGATAAACTAACGCCAAAAAACATTCCATAATTTACCCAAATCACATAGCTAATAGGTGGCAGAGCTTGGTTTTGAAATCGGGCTGTTTGGCTGTAGGGTCTTTGTAACCACTATACCCATTGTCTCTTGAGAGTTGTTTATAATGTGTATGCATAATATATATCATTGCACTCAAATACAGAATTGTGAACATCCTCTGTGTTAACTTCACAGTATATTCTTTAATTATAAAAGGTCAAGTTTTTTTTCCCACTCTTTTCACTGGCCCCTTTTTTTCTTCCTATCATGAAATGAATTCCAAAACTGACTTTGGACCAATGATAATGTGTCAGTGGCCAAGATTATGAATGAATAATCTAGTTTCTATACCTGAGGTTCATTAAAAAAAAAAGTTTCGTTTACATACCATTTTATTTTTCTTTAAGAGAATTTTGGTGCTTATTTTCATTTCAATTGTTACTAAAGTTTTCTGATTTGTTCTTTGCGGATTGGTTTCATGGTTGTAATAGAGTGCTTTCAGTTGGGCCAAAATGTTGCTTTCCCTTAAATTGTGGATATGAATGAGGAGGATAGTGTTTAAGTGGCTTAAAGTGCAACTTTTTTTTTTTTTTTTTTTTGAAATTTTGTAGATAGTATTGTGAGATAATTTGTTTACTTAATTTATTATTCATTCAGCAAATATACGAATGCCTACCCATGAACATAGCATTTAGGATTTAGGATATGTGGGGAGTAAGGCAGACAGCATAGAGATAAGAAATAAATTTTCCCAAACCCTTTTTCATTTCATGAATTACAATTTTTTTTTTTATTCACTTTTTTTTTTTTTAACAACCAGACATCATGAATCTCTGAGAAATGATTAGATATTTATTGGGTAAGGCTGATTATTATTTGAGATTATGATGGTCCGTTAAAAAAATAATCTTTAGATACTAAGTCTTGGAAGGATCTCTTTCCCTTATCAGAAATAATTTTCAACTTGATTTAAAATGGTTGCATCAGTATATTGACAGGGAACTTCCAGAAATTCAAGCTGGATTCAGAAGAGGACTTGGAACAAGGGATATCATTGCTTATATCAGATGGATGTTGGCTGAAAGCAAAGAATACCAGAAAAATCTTTACCTGTGTTCTATTGACTATGCAAAGGCATTTGACTGGGTGGATCATAACAAATTATGGATAACATTGAGAAGAATGGAAATGCCTAAGGCATTTGACTGCTAACCAGAAAAGGCTGGCAGTTCAAACCTACCAGCCACTCCTTGGAAAGGAAGGTTGGGCAATCTACTTCCATAGTGATAACCGCCTGGGAAACCCAAGGAGGGGTCACTATGAGTCGGATCTGACTCAACGGCAGTGAGTTTGGGTTTTTGGTTTAGTTGATTATGCTCATGAGGAACCTATACATAGACCAAGAGGGTGTTGTTCAGGTAGAACAAGGGGGTAG